TCTTTTTCTCATTTAGGTAAACTAATTAAAGGTTTAACTGACATAATTAGGTATATTTAGAGTAAAATTGAGATATCTCTTTTTGAACAATTCATAGAAATACATAATTTGTTTTTTTGGTGTGTATTGTGATGGCAAAAAATTGAGCATTGAAGATGTGTTTTTGTTTATTTAAGATAAACAAATTGAGCAACAAATTGCACAAAAATACCAGATGTAGCAACAAATGATATGCTGGTTCCACTGGTAGATTTGTCATTTCTGCGTGAAAACTTAATTTCAGCAGATGTATGATGTTGTGTTATATGGAAAAATGTTATTTTGTATGTTTGAGGAAAATTTTAAAAGGAAACTCAAAGTTTTAATAGGTTAAAAATGTTAGGTTTTCTATGTTTTTGTTTGTTTAAGAAAAACAAACTGTGAGCAACAAATTGCACGAAAGGCCTGATGTATCAAATATAATACAAATTAGAATTAATATATGCAAATTGATATTACATTTTTTTTTTTTGTCAGCAGGTTCAGTAGAAAAAAAAATAGAATTTTCTGGCAATTATTTCATGGTTCAGGCTTTAGCCTCTTACTTTGTTTTGGGTATCTTGTCTAATCATTGAAAAATTGTAAAGAAATGGTTTTATGCACAATATTCTACCTGGGAAAATTAGTTGTGAGTTTCATCTACATAAAAATGATGGAAAATTTAGTTTAACACTCAAAAATTCTTGATTTGAATTGTGATTTTCTCTTAATATCGTAAAACTCATAGTAATGAATAAGTAAGAGCTCCAGCTAGATTTTATCTCAGTACGTCCACAGATTGAAAAAGATACAAAGTAATAGACCTTTTTCACAGCAGCCTTTTTGACATGAAACAATACAGTAATCACAGGTGTCACCAATAACACTAATTAAAGTTCCAACATGCAAAATAGCAGCCTGTTTGAGCTGAACGGAACAGAACACCATTGGTAACACCTGTGTTTACCCTACTATTTCATGTGAAAATGGTTGCTGTAAAAATGGTTTATTTCAGAATATTATCATATAATTTTAGTTTCAAAATTTAACATCAATTTGAGTTCAAATTTCAATTTTACTTATTCACATGTGTCAAAGTTCACTAATTGAGCTGTTCCTGGGGATGCCATTCTGACTCCAAATGCAAAATTCTGCATTCAGTGATCAATGATTATTTTAAGATTAATTATCAGCAGTGGCTACAAGAGATGATCATGCCATCGACCCTGTTCAGTATAATCCATAAAACCTCTGAAAAACAACATCTTTCATACTATCACACGACCAAGATTTTGCAATATGTCAGTATAATTGAGTGCGTTGATCTGTGGAGTGAATTTGGGGCCATTTTCTGTGAAGCTGTGATAACAACTGGTCGTGTCTGAGATCAGGAAGTCACCTCTGTCTTATCAGTCATCACTGTGGTGTGACCAGGAACTCAGCAGACACCTCGGGCTGATAAGATAAACTGAGGGAGTGCGGGGGGTTAGGAGGGGGAAGGATGGGTTCCTACCTGTCCTCTGTAGAAGACTGGCAGGAAGTACTATCCGACTCTGACCTCCGATAGCGTCGTCTCCGCCGTGAGTGAGTCCGTGAACTGAAGAAGGTAATGAGGAGAGCAGAGGAGAGAAGACATAAGTGGATAAGGAGAGAGAGAGCACTACTCGACGGAAATTACTTGACAACCATTTCTATCAACACTTAATCATTTTTCATTTAACACAAATTCCACCTTACCTCCAGATGTAAAGATTTGCTACTTCTAGCTGTTGTTTGCCTTTGTAAATTGATTACATATAATACAGCTAATGGTCTGTGGCTGCTGTGCAGCCTATACACATTTTCTATGAATCCTTTTTGTTTTGTGATAAGGTATGTTAAGCTCCGCCTTCATCCTACGTCTTATTGGTCATTGCTATAATCTGTTGTAGACATTAGCTCATTATTTTGTAGCTGTTAACTTTTTTACAGACATATAACATTCTAAATTCACTAAATTATTGATGACATCAGATTATCCAAACCACTTTATTTTGAGGTAAAACTGAAAGTGATTATACCCAAAATGTGTTATAATCCCTCATTGCACATGCAAACAGTATGCGCTTCAGAAAGTATAGTAGGTCAAAATTTAACCAGGATGTCGGTTTGTACACTGTTGTAGATGCTTACATTGGACACTTTGACCAATATTGTTATTAATCACCTTGGTTTTCTCTTCCAAATATGTTAGGCTAACCTGGAGAAGATTTTACGATTTTACGTACCAACCATGCAAAAAATGAAATCTGCACAGCTGTACAGGTTATTGAAAGTTGACTTACAGAAGTAACAACTTCTAAATCAATATATTTCTTTGATCCGTGTGAAAAACATCAAGCTAAAGGTCCGGTGTAACATCTAGGAGGATCCATTGGCAGAAATGAAATATAATATTCATAGGTATGTTTTCATTACTGTATAATTACCTGAAGATTAAAATTGTTGTGTTTTCGTTACCTTAGAACAAGCTGTTTTTACCTAAAAACTCCATGGAGGCTGCCATGTTAAACCAACATGTTTATATAGTATAGCTCAAAACAGACAAACCAAAAACTGGCTCTAGATTAAATACTACTAAATACTACACACCAGACCTTTAACTGCTACAGAAGATTCTGTGCCAACTGAAAATAACTCTGGTGGCATTGAAACATCAGTTGCTATTGAACACAAAGTCTGGCTGAATGAATAAAACAAATGGCAGTTCAGTCATGCAAGGGAATAAAATCTAAAACCAGGAAAATAAGATGTACCGAACTGGAATAAACTGGAATTACCCATCTATTACTCCAGATAGTGGATCTATTACTTTGCAAACTATGGATAGATTAATCAAACATTAAAATGATTATTAGTTGCAGCCTTATAGAACAACATTTGTTGGCATTACAAATGTTTTTTAAACTGCACAATTCAGTATTAAAATGGTCAATCAGATCAAGCATGTATAACTTGAAGAATAATTCAAGTAGGTTTTTTCCGAGAGTCTATGTCCACCTCTGATGTACATGAACTGTGTTTGAGAAAGAGGAGAGCATGTCAGCGAAGGCAGCGGTATGAAGAGACAGCAGAGGCTTGAAGATAACAAAAGAAGCGAGAGAAAAGGGTTGTAGAGAGCAGGAAAGCAGTGTTTTTTGTTCAAGAAAGCAGCAACTGAACTTGGTTCTGTGCTTACAAACAACGGCCCGCTCATCCAAAGTCGAATTATAAAATGTTGAAAGATCACAGCATGAAATTGGTTTCTCTTACCCTCTTTCACCCCTTACTTTCCCTCTCTTTGTAGCTCAAGCTTTCAATCAGTTTTCCTCTTTACAAGGCCTTTTTCACGCTTTGCTCAGAAAAATAAAAGCTGCACGTTTCTGTATTCACCCATCGTGCCCCTACATGAGAGCATTTTGGAGCATCCTCTCCTTCCTCAGCAAGGGGTATCAGAAAAGGGTGGATAGGCTTACCATGGGGGAAGAAGAGGAGGTGGGGGGGGGGTCAAAAAAGCAGAGTACATGATTCTGATGCAACAATCACACTGACTGACCTTTTCTTGTGCTTGCGCTCATCCTTCCTCTTATGTTTTAAACTTGAAGAGCTGGTGGGATGAAAGAGAACAGAATCGTGAGCGAGGAATATTAAGATTGACAAAGCCTAGACAGACAGCCTGCTTTCTTCCTAATACATACTGTAAATGCCTGGCTTTTAAATTGGACATCTAGCAATCTTATGGAAAGCAGATGCTAAATATTACACCATATTTATGACAGAAATGTATGAGACAGGTGAGAACTGTTTGGTCTTTTGTTAAGAAATTACTGACACACAGTCATGCTACAATTATACACAAAATAATCATATACGTACCTGTGTTTGGACTTTTTGGAGGTATACCTGGAATAGGGAAAAAAAGATGATTTCACCTAAAAATAAATGTCATGCCATTTTGCCAATATTGACGTAGTAAGCAAGAACTACCTATGCCGCTTGCTTTTCTTGGAGCTCTTCTTCTTCTTCTTTTTCTTCTTCCTCAGTGGTGACAGGCTGTGAGATGGAGACCTAAAGCGGGACAACAAATAAACATGAACTTAAGAGAGTGAAGCATTCTCCTGTACACCTCCCCTCAATTTATTTATTTCAGGAAACACAACAAAAGATGTCCAGCAATGCACTTCACTGCAGAGTCATCTTAGTTCGGGAACCGACCTTTTCCTTTTCCTCTTCCGTTCGGACTTTCTCTTCTTCTTCTTCCCCTTCGGCCGAGGGGAGAGTTCCTCATCAAACGAGGGGCTGTGAGCAGAGAACAGAGAAGAGAGTACATAATCATTGCAGTGATGGGATATGAAAGGGAAGAATTCAACAGGGGAGGAGAATATTTTTGGGGCATGAGTTCCAACTTCTGAATCCCAATATCTAGACTTTTGGACTCTGAGTGTTAAAGGGCTAGTTCACCCAAATTACAAAACACTTTATTATCTTTGACATTTCTGCGTTTATTCAGTGGAGGTGGATGGGTTTTCAACAGCCCGGTATCAGTCAGGATTACGTCCATGTTGGACAATTCTGAACCCCACAATTTACACCCAATGCCAATGACCAGGACCTACACAGGACATTGCTGCACTTTTCATAATGAAGAAGAGAGTAAGGGGGTGGCAGTGAGGGTGGTGGACCAGTGTGTAGCTTGTCCATTAACCTCCACCATACTGACAATACGTTGTAGTGGGGGCAGAAATCTTGGAGATGGATACCTCAAAACCTGGGCAAATTAAACCTATAAAAACTATCTGCATTACATATTCCTTATACTTTATTTAGTGAATTTTAGTAAGGTTCCTTGGTCAATATTTTGCATCCTCTGTGAACCGTACAGTTCTTTTCATTTTAAAAACAAATATATGTTACTTATGTTTTAAATATATATTTTTTATTTTATTGTAATTGTTTTTATTTATTTTTATGGTTCTGGACTTCTGCAATACTTGCTTTTTCTTTTTCTTTGTAGTTACTATGTTAATTTTATTACAAAGGCAAATGCAAGTAAACCTGAGCCTAATTGCCAATGAACCACATATTTTCTCACTAAAGGTAAGTAAGAAAATATGCTTTTTTCATAATTTGGTTGAACTGCCATTTTAACCTATGTTCACAGTTTCAAAGTAGTCACCATCTAAAATAATAATAATCAATGAAACTGTGCAAACAGGTTATTAACAGCAGCATTAATACACAATTCAATTGTGTGAGAGGTTACACAAGAATATTATTCACCTTTTATTTATGTGATAACACATAAGTGTTGCTTACACTTTTCTCTGTGTGAAAGTGTGACACTCCCTCTATACAAGTCTTTTCTTTCCTAAAATCAGACAAATAACCCTAAACAAACTGGGTGGGGTAAAATAATCCACATGACTCATCATTGGCATCACAGAACTGCACATAAATGCATCCTGATTGATCCTGACACACACAAGCAAGATTATCTGTGAGCCAAATGTCCCGTATGAGATGATCCCATCACAACAGGATGATGAAATCCTATCCAGACTGGTACAAAGCACAAAACAGATCGCATGCCAGTGAGCTTCACTGAAGTCAAGACTGATGACAACATGAGATAGATCTGTGATACATCCCATCCACTGCCAGTGTACATAGCTGACTTCACTGCTTATTTAGCCTTTGAACCTTGGTTCTGGCTGCCTGTTGGCTGTCCTTTCCCCCTCTTCTTTCTCTTTTTCTAACATACAAACACAATGTACAGTAGGACACTTACTGGTATTTTAGTTACCTTCACTTAATAAAATGAATCAACAGTAATGCCAGTTGTAGCAGAAATGGATAGACATTTTTAATTTGTTTTAAATTATGAATTTGTTATTTTTGTCATTGATAATGAACCGTCTTGTTAATCTTGTTAGACTAGATATGGAAGGAATGTTTTTAGAGTGTTTAATAGAGAGTCTTTAATTTTTAGAGCCCTCCGGCTGCTTAGTGTAGCTATTTCATTCAGGTGGGGGACCTGCAAGAGACAGATTTCTTTTAAATGTCTTTGAACGAAACAAAAAATCCCCCTACTGACTAACTCACAGTCAGAATTTATAATCCCATAAAACTGTCTATTTTGGAGTGAAGAAGTGAGAATTGTTCCCAATTTTCAATCAAAAGTTTAAAAAAAAAAAGCAAAATGTTTACATTCGAGGTCAACCTATCCTGACTTTTTGGCCCTACTATGGATAAACTATAAAAAAAAAACACTGGATCCTACATTTACTACAATAAAATGTATCAACTAGCAACTGCCTGTGAAACGTCAAACTCCTCGCCTCCAGTTTGTAACACAGGATTTCTGTTAAAAAGATTTGACAAAGCTCTGCCAGAACCACAGCAGACTTTGTAGAAGTGTTTCAACACAGCCTGTATTTTGTCATCATCACACGCTGTCATCAATATTACACTTCACCCCGCCCTTTTGCAGATAAAACCACAGCATCTATAGTATATAAACCAAAAAAAGCAGCCAACTCAAAGATTTTAAGACTTATTGCATCAACTCGGGTGTAGATTATGAAAGAAGAAGCTCAAAGCACTGGAGACCTTCTACTAATTTCTGTCATCAAGCTGGTACATCTGATTTGTAGACTCCAGCATAGACACACATGCTCATGCTAGCCTAATAAATTCTTGTCCTCCATCCATTCTTCTCTTCAAGTGTGAATTCATCATTAGCAAGAAAAGAAACTTGTCAGATTCCATCTGTTGACCAGCTTGGTTGCTGTCCAGAGGTCCCCTTCAATTGCTCTCTGAAAATGAATGACGTGGAAAAGGAGATGAAGGCCTTTGAAGCGCCATGGGCTCATTGAATGAGCCTTTCAAGTACAGACAGACTGAAATTCATAAAAAGTAAAGAGGAGGATGTTAGCCACTGTGTAGGCTGATACGGGGTAAAGGAGAGATGTGAAGAAGATGCCTTTGACTGCAACTCACTCGGGCAGCCTCACCTTGGCTTTGATAGAGGATGAAAACAAGCTTTATTGGGAAAACTGGAAATGGTGTCTGGACTAGGTTAATTCAGAATTCATGTAAATTTCATGTAGGAGTGTTAACATCATGAATGGTAGAGTATTAAATAAGATAAAGGAGGGAGCAGGCATGGATACATGAGGCATTACAGAAATAAATAAAAGGGTACGTGCAGACACACTACTCTTCCATGAATCAACAAATGAAGCCCTTGGCGTGAATTACAAATGTCATTTTCAGTCGTTACATCTTATCGTTTATCATAACAATCAAAGCAACATGTCATTTGTAAAATCTCTATTTAGGATTTGTTATTTTTCGCTCCAAGCTGCTGTGAAGTCAAACCTCTCAGGTCCTTTTACTTCGAGGCGATCAAGCGAAACAACTTTGGTTCAAATCTTCCAAACCTTTCTCCCAACTACCAGACAATCAATCATGTTTGTTGTTTTCTTCTTCACCATTTAAGGCAAATAAACATTCAAAGGGAAACCTGATCATTGAGATGAATGGCTTCCCAATTCTCTCTCAATATAACTTTAACTTTAACCCGGGATTTTTTTACCCGGGATTTAAATCAGAAAAACGATGCATGGAAACTAAATTGCAGGTAACAGATTTTGTACTTTGATTGGTCTTACTGAGAATAAAACCAAGCATTAAAAAAAAGTCAATTTCTAAATAACATTATCAATAATCACATAATATTTTGACAGCACAGAATTAGCTTAGACTATTATTTGTATATAAATAGTAGCTGTATGACACACGTTTTTAAGCACTTTCATGCCTACTGGAGAGTAATCATTGACCATGTCGAAATTCAAGGGAATGTACCTTACACAAACAGCAGGTCAAGTTAACAAGTGAGCGTGATCAGATCCAGACAGTGACAAACTGCACTCCTGCTTGATATATGCGACCACAGAGCTCTGGAGACTATGTGCCTGTTTCACTGGATGCAGAAGACTGTCTTCCTATAATAAATGGCCCTGCTTGGTGTAGTCTGCAGTTTAGGAGCATTAAGAACTGAAATGCATTAGGGTTGATTAGACAGACCAAGCCCAAGTACCCTCTCCTGGTAATGAGAGTGCTTTGTCACTCATTAACACCTCTACCATTCTGGCCTTGTAGAAAGAGAGCACAAGGCAAGCATTTGCATTTTTTCTTGCCAGCAGAAACAGTTTCTTTTGATGAGGTGGAGAGAATGAAAGGGAGAATGAGAGAGCAGTCAATTGCCAGCTACACTGGGAATGGTGATTGCGCGAAACAATGGTGTATGAAAATGGGATTTTGGGACATCTGATGACAATATTCTCAATGCTAGATGCAGCCTATTTTCTTGAAAAACATGTTGCTTTTTTCACTGCCGCAATCATGCATGAATACCATAAATGTATGCATGTAACTACATCCAAGATATGTCATATAAAAAATACATCACTGGATGATGCCAGACGCAGTATTGTGCTCGGTACAGTCGTGATCAGGTGTATTTCTTCTTCTTTTTGAGTTTCTGGTGCAATTTCCAAGTAATTAAATGTTTTCACTGATTCAACAGAACTGGAAATGGTTCATTTGTCTGCCTCTTTTTCTAGTGAACCAGGTTTGGTAACAACAACTTTCTAAAACTTTCTCATTGTAGCTAACATACTTTTTCTAGAAGGAAGTGTCAGTGGCTTGTGATTTTAGAATAATTAACATTGGTTGCTCTGCTAAATTTGGCTGCTGCAGACCAATTAGCAAGATAGCGATCCAAAGAACAAATGTCTTTCTCAACCGAGGAGACTTTTCTCAGGCAGCAACTTGCTGTGCTTTGTAACTAAGACAAATAATTGGGAAATGAATCAACCTCATTAGAGACTTTTGGAAAAAAATGGAAAAAAATAAACAGAAGGACAATGTTTTTCATGTATTTATATTATTCTTGATCACTTCTGATCTTTATTTGCTTAAAGTTGATGCAGCTGTGTGTAGCTGCTGTTCCGTCAGTCTATCCTCCTACCAGCTGACATTGTGGTCAAAGTTGCCTTGATGATTTTATTACTTTTGATTCTCACAGTGATTCAGAGACATTCTCTTTGTGATCAGTGAGATCAGTGATCTGAAACGATTAGTATTCAGAACACTGGAGAATTTGGGTGAAGTCAAAGTCAGTACACCAATATCTGTCCTTGAACTATTCCTGAATCCAAATGTTGATCTAGCTCTAGCTTTCCACTTAGCATCAGGTCTGCTAAAACTGTCTTTACTTTTAAATTTCATCTTAAAAACTATACGCGCAACAACATCATCTAGCAGCACATTGTGTTGGGTTGACACAAACGTTACATATAGCATGACGGGCAAGATTCTGCTGTTTAACTGGTATGACGTGACAACTTTTTAGATTTTGATTTGGAGTACACCATAAACCACAGTTTAGTGTTTCAGCATCTGATTACCTTTAAGTATAAATGACAAATCCTATATGTTACTCAAACTGGACTTCCTGGATTGTACTTAATCCTCTCACTAGTGACTGCCCACACCAATGCAGCTCCTTGCAATTTTTGTTTTTGGTGCACGATTACAGCATGAAAATACACCAGTTTATTTGTCTAAACCTCACAGAAATGCTGCAGACAGCAAAAAATTAGCAGAGACACAACATAAGACGGCAGAAACAGTGTGTTTAATTTGTGTAATGACTATTAACGGTGCCATCTTGTTACTAAATGTAGAAAAAGGCGATACGATTATGCTGTTGACATCCTTCCTGGCTGGGAGTTCTGTGTCCACTTTATGGCAGACATCACTTGTGATTCCTCAGAACTTAAGTTTCAAACGACTTTGTATGCCATACAGTGTTACTGAACACAGAAGCTCTCTAGTGTAAGTTCAACTCACAGAAAAGTACTCTCAGTTTTAAAGATAAGAAGCACTGTAAATCTTTTTCAATCAGATCTTGCACACACAAACCAGAAAAATGATTATCCGAAGCTGGCATCCCTGCATGTTTTCTGTGCTCGCTGTTAAATTCAAAAACAAAAAGAAGCAGCCGCTGGGTAAAGTTCATCCAAAGAGAAGTGATTCATGTTTATGATCCACTCTAACACTCCTCAGATGCGGCTTGAGTCATGTTTTACATATCACCTGCTGCTTCCCTGCTGTGTGACTGCAAAAGGCTTTGAAGGTGTCAGATTAATTAAAAAATCTGCCTGAATTGATTACCTCCACCTCCGAATAAAAAGCCTGAAAACGATTCTCGGTCTGTGAAGGAGACTTTTGGTTCAAGGTGCTGGTGAAAAGAGCGGATCTGAATGACACCGTGTGGAATTCCTCACAACGTGTTTGTATTTCTCCACTGGGCCTGGCCCGATAAGACTGTTTACATTCCCTGCACCGTAATATAGAGATTAGCTCTGTTTTCTCACTGAGAGTCAAGCCCGGAAGGAGTTTTGGTGTGCTGTTAAAAAGGCTTTATCACCAGCACTTAAGTCTACAAAAGCAACCCCCAAAAACTAAAACTTTAACCATTCATCATCAGAAATGCTTCACTGTGATCAACAATCCCACAACTTTAAATGACATTGATTTCTCAGTTTTTTACATGTCTTTAGAAGCACTCGTTCTTTGAGATCAGATAACTGTCTTGATGGTTTTTAAGTGCTCCTGCTTGGCCTTTGTGAAAGAATAAAGACTATCTCACCTCCTGGCCCTGCGATGACTGTGGTGTTTACGTCCTTTTACTTTGATGCAGCCATTTCTGTCTGCGCTGTCCACCCTGGTGTCTGCCGGTTTCCTCTCATCCGTCTTGAGCGGCAGGCAGGCTGTTGTTTCTAAGCTGTGACAGGAACAAAAAACAAAAAAGCAAAATCATTTAGTTTTCGCTCTTGTGCCTTCTCTTAAGAACTTTTTAAAAGGGATTTTTGTAGTTGTCCACACAGTTAACGCTTCCATCATACAACAGTGAGGAGGACTTGGCATGCTTGGTTAGCCTTATTCCCTCTGGTCTACTGGATATGTGTTTTATTCCCCTCCATTTGTCCCTTCCAGCCATTCTCTGGGAAAATTGGAGGTCAGCCATTTACCATTCAAATCGTGGTGTCAATTGAAATGTAGTTATTTACATGCTTCAGTTGCCCTGACATTTTGGGAAATGGTGTTTTCTATCTCGTGCTGGGGAGATGCAGCCACGGGCGATAGATGGTCATGAAAGAATAGCTGAAGTTCTCCTTGAATTATTTTCCTATTTCTGATAAACCAGAACTAGTTAGTTAGTTATATATAACAGTTATTCACATGATCATGGGCAAAAAAGCCACATACTCAGCCTTGTGTTTGAAAATATTCGCTGCAATTTTAAAATTGAGGCTAACTATTTTTGGCTTCCAAATAATGCTGCTTTAAATCAGGTGTTTACTAATTCAGCCACTTCCACCTGAACCTCCCAAAAATCCTCATCCATAGTCAAATGCGGCTGCAGAACGAATGACTAAATAAACTGAATGATTAGATTCGAGCACACAGTTCTAGCCCTGCTTATTATCCTGTGTTTTAGTCATGGGAGATTTGAGCGTAATTACACATTCTCCTCTTCTTTCGAGTGGCCCCCGTCTGATTGTAATGAGAAGATAATCAGAGCCAGAGATTAGGCCGTCAACGCCGCCTCCTTCTCCTCTTCCCCCAGCGACGAGCAGGCAGGAGCCGTCACTTTCTATCTTCCTCACCTTCGTTTTCCTCTGCTTTTCTGCATAAGAGGGAGTGCCCCCAGCAGGGAACTAATAATGTAAAACGGCAAACTGGGTGCTCCAACATGACCAAGTGTTTGAAAGGTGATAGGGGAGATAAAGACAACCACCGGAGGGATGATTAGTCTGTTCAAGGAGGCTGATGGTAAAGGAACCTTCAAATAACAGGATGATCTGGCTAATTTCCTGCTTGTGTTGTTGACAAATAAAAATCTGCTTAAGTGTTTTCTGGTTTGAGGTGACAAACAGTGGCTGAAACTAACAGATCGTCTAGATAGACATGAATCTTACTTCAGTGAAATGTCAGTGACCAACCAGTAGGAGTGGGAGAAATGAATAAAACCCTGTATCAAATTATGTGAAACCTGATATCTCGATATTTATATACTCTGTTGCTTGATATAATACATTTTTGGGAAAATCTGAGATTTTCTAAAATAACCAGACAGGAATATCTGCTTTTGGCAAATCCCACAATTGAAATACCTGACAAATCAGGCTACTTCATCACATTGATCTAATAGCAATAAAATCCAATACTGCAATACTTTATATTATGTTATTTTCACATGTTGTTTGTTTTCAAATTTTTTTTAAGGTTGATATGTTTGTAAAGCACTTTGAAACTGCCTTGCATTAATTATCTTTGAGTAGCCTGTTAATGTATTTGCAACATTTTAAAGGGATAGCTACGTTATAAATGGCAAATTAGTACACAAACAAAACAATAGTCACATGTTCTTTTCTCTACATCATCCAATCATATGTGACAATGAGATTAAACTACATGATTGGGGCATCACAAACAAAAATGAGCGTCATGTGTTTTCTTTTTGTAATATACATTTTATTTTCATTTTGTTCTGTGCAATGTCATAAAGGAAGACAACTGACACACCATTTGCCTCAAGACATGTCCCAATGAAAATAATTGTTTTTGCCTTGCACAGAGCACTCGTCCCTGCACAAATGTAAAAATGGTGAAGTGAAAAAGGAATGATGTTGGTGCTATCAGGTGGAACAGTGGAGACGGTTCGTGGCACCTCTAGTTTGGTCGGCATCTAATGTGCCTGCCTTGTGTCTCGGCCGAGTCAAGGCAAAAAATGTATGAGTCTATGATGACCTAATTTGTAACAGTGACCATCTCAAAAGGAACATTTTTTTTTTTAGACTGCAAACACTAGGAAGTCCATATTGTGATTTTGGCACAGCAACAAGCACTGTATCTTAGACTACTGCCTGCTTTCAGAAATTGAACCTCCTCCACTTTCCAAACCTCCTTATTTACATGTATATGAAATGCAATGGTTCTTTCTATATGCAGTTATATTCACTGAATGTATATCTATAAATAAAACCATGCAAATGTCTAATTTCCCTAATGGAAACCATGGAAGACGTCCTTGGGCAGCAGCTCAGGCCAATAAAATAACAAACTCTTGTATTTCCACTCTATTATTTACTGATCTGATTGGTCATAAGAAATCCAGCTTAACACCGGAATGTAGAATTTAGCACAGTCAATTCACAACTCTAAAGCAGACCTTAACTGTACAGTCTTTGGCTGCTAAACACGTTAAGCGTGACAAAAGATATTGATGCTGCAGCCAGTGGTAATACATCCTGCAAAGATCTGAACAATTTAAGCAATTTACTTGACACAGGAGAACAAAATGGTGAAACATTTGCGCTGCTGAACGCTCCCCTCTGAGCAGGCTGGAGTGGAAAGTGGCCCGAAGCCCCTTTTACCCGCCCCCTCTCTGCTTTTTTGTTATTTGCTGTCACTCTTAAGAGCCGCCGTTGATTAGTTCTAAATGAAATCGATTCTGCCATCTCGGATGCACATTCCCTTGATCCGGCCCTGCAATTTATGGTTGAAACTTTCCAAGCTATAAGCACCTGGATTTATCGTGGGCTGTTTGTATCTGTCAAACAACAGCCCCTCGCTCCTTCTCCCACACACATTCTCTGTCTCTCAAGCATGGACAATCCCCTTGTAGTTGTAATTCATAACCAGGCAGCAGTTGAAGGTATTTAAAGGGACAATTCAAAGCATCAAACAGGCAAAAAGCTTTAAACGAATGCAAATTCAAGGCGGATTAAGTGAGAGTACTTCATGACGAAGAATTACGTGGACACTAATCCTCCAAAATCCTGACTGGATTTGTTTACCATTAAACAGGTGAAATGGAGTCATAGGCTGGGATCAGCCTTGCAATCCCTCCTAAAATATGACATGATGGGAGGTCCTCTCATTGAAACCATTGTCTGTGTGGAGCAACACTGCCGATACAGGTAGCATTCCACTTCTTGACTTTTTGACCTCTTTGCCCCCTTGGCGATGAGTAATTTTGTTATTGAAGCCTGAGAGGAATGACCAAGCTGTGACTAGCTCTTGTTTTGGTGTTTGTCACAGAGGGAGCTTCTAACTTCTGCCAACGTGGGACTTCCTCTGCTCCGTCATATACCTTTGCTGTTCACTGCCACATGGATGGATAACAAATATTGGCATGTGGTGCACAAAAACACTCCGCAAATAGAAAGACATTTTAAAAAAAGGGTGAGGATGTGATTTTCACCGTTGCACATATCAAAATCTAGATGGAGATGGGTGTAGTGCACGGTATGTGTGTTCGTCTTCTAAAAAATATGTGGTAACACTTTACAATACGATACACAAACTGATTGAGTAGTTGCTAAGGAATGAGTGAGGAACGAATCAGGCACAACCTGATGATAAATGAATCCCTAATAAGTAGACTAACTCTGAATGGACGGCTATATTTGTAGCTAATGATGATTTACTAAAACTGACTGCGGGGAGATACTATATTAATGAATCATTAGATAATGATTCCTTCATAAATATCTGTGAATCGACATACTGACCACTTTCTTCACGAGTTGCTCCTGATTGCTATTTTGTGCCACTGAGCAACTGGTTCAGAGTTAATTAGGAATGACTCATGAAGAAAGTGGTCAGTATGTCAATTCACAGATATTTAAGAAGTAATCATTGCCCGATGATTCATTAATATAGCATCTTTCAGTCAGTCTCTCGGTTAATCATCATTATCACGCAGGGAGTAGATCGGGGTCGATGGTTGGTGGTGCAAAACATATGACACTGACACCATTTTGAAGCGACTAAAATACTTGCTTAAGGGATCATTTTTCTAACGCTCAACAAATCCTATGAAAATACTCAAACTAACAATGGATTGATTCTACTAAAAAGCATTACATCACTGAGCCACACCATTGAGTGGCATGATCCTTTAATACAATGAACATAGGTACTGTAGTTTATTTTGAGTCTGTCCCAAACATAATAGTCTCTGACAAATACTCTATTTACCTCTGTTTAAATTATGATTTCTAAAAACTACACTTCCCAGCTGAAAGTTATTTTTATTTGTTTTGCTTTATTAATTACAACAAAAATATAGAATATTTCCATTAGAACCATAAACATGTGTTTTAGTAAACATAACCATAAAAATATTTTGATTTAGATTCCACAAGGGAATACTGAGAGGAAAACAAATTAAATACAACAGTGAACACTTTGCAGATTTTGGTTTGCAGATTCAATTAAACACAACTTTGTTATATTGATTAAAATAACTCTATGGCATGCAGCATTACATTTATTAGTGCTACATATGTGTGATTGCAAATGATTTGAGTTTAATTAGTGGATTTATCAATGAATCATTTCAGTCATTTATCAAACATAATGCCCAATATTCTCAGCTGTGATGATTTGACTGTTTTCCTTCTCATACATGATACTAAACTCTATCTATGGACACAACAAACTCAAAGATGTGATCTTGGACATTTAGGAAATGCTAAAGCAGATTTTTTTATGTTTTCTGTCAATTTAAATAATTATCAGATTACTTGCTAATAAGCGATTGTTGCAACCTTAAATAAGTTGTATGTGAATGTAATTTTTAGGATTTATACATAAGTGCAGGATTGCACATTTTGTCACATTATCAATGGGTCTAATGGTCTATTTGGTTCAAAAAAAAGAAAAGAAGGGAATAAAGGAGGGAAATGCAGAACATGTCTAAACTTTTCATTT